TTTTAAATTGGAACCTGAAGATTTTGACAATATAATACTTTTTGGCCACATTTTACACTTGGTAAGCATTGGATTAGTTCCTCTAATATAGGATGTTAATGTAAAATATTTATCATATTTGGCCATAGTAATGATATTTCATCTGATTTTGGATTTTCAGAATCAGATGATGAGGATTAAATAATAATATCCATGTTTATGCTAGTCTATTAAATTAAAATATAAACAATAAAATTCAAACTAATAAACTATAATAATGGTGTGTTAAAAAAAATTGAAATGTGAAAAGGAAATACACAGCCGATTAAAAAATATAAATAATACATTTTTTTTAAAAAATCGGTAATATTAAATTTTTCAAATAAATAAAAATAAAAATATTTTTAAAATTGAACGAACGTTAAATTCCAACACATTCGTCATAAAAAAGGAACGCGTTCAAGTTCAAAGTTCGTTAAAATAAAAAGGAACGCCGTTCATAATTTTTTTCAAAAAAACGAACTTCGTTTACGAACGCGTTTATTTTGAACGCGTTCGTTTACAACACTATATTTTTTCCTATTTCAATAAATATTAAAAACAGATATAATTCCTCAATTAAATAAAATATAAACATATCAAAGCTACAACCACATCACATCAAGTCTCATATTTTAAATGATGATAGGATTTTTTATAACGATCGTTTATTTAATTTTTAAATTGCTTTCGTGCTTCTAAAATCTTTGTTTTATCTTGTTTTATATTATTTAAATTACTTCTATATTTATTAAACAAACTGAAAAAAAAATAATATCTATGAAGATCATAGAATCATAAGATTCAACAATTCCTTGTAAGGGAAAGTGAAACTTTAATGTATTCTGATCAAATTGATTTTTGATAATTAAAAATTCCGTATTTAAGATTCAGCCTATGCAAAGATTTTTATTTCCTTATAACTGGTTTTTACTTATTGGCTGAAAAAAATATTGATTTATGAACTACTAAGTATTAATCATGCATTAGATATTGTTCATTTCTTCTATAATTTAATTTTCCTTCTAGCATGATCTTAATTTTGGTGATTTTTTTTATTTTGTCAAAAAGGTTTTTCTAAAGGGGTTGTAGCATTTAAGAAGTATGAAATACGCACTAATTATTGACATAAATTTGCGAGATAATGCTTCCAGATGTTTATAGTCAGTTTTTGGGTTCATAATTCGTTTACTTTTTTTAATGGCTGGCGAAATTGATTAAGGAATTAGTATGGCACCAAATATTAACGAAACCAGATAGTTAGAACTTCTATATTCTCCATTCTGGCATGATGCTAATTTTGACAATTTTTTATTTTTTATCAATAATTCTATTCATCTTTAAACCAATTACCAAAAAAATAAAGCAATAAAATATACTAAGAGAAATAAAATTAAAAAAGTTTTTCATCTTGGTTTCTTTTCGTGGTTCTCATATTTGAATAAATTGAAAGTATTAGTCAGGCGATAAATATGAGCCAGCGATATATATATATAGTCTTTATATATATTCCATTTTAGCGCTTATATCTATTTTGGCAATTTTCTTTCTTTATACTGATTACTAAGTCTGATTAAATTAATATACAATTATAATCAAACATTGATAAAATTTACTCAATAAATGTTTTCAGTCACTTTTTAATATTATGGTTGGCCAAAATCTTGTTACTAATAATTTTTTCCTTTACACTGGTATTCTGTTAAATTAAAACGCTATAAAGCATAAAACATTGCCATATTTTAGAATTAGGGCTTGTTCAGCCAACTTTAACGGAGAAGACCACCGAAAAATCATTAATATATAAGAATTTCTTACCCCCTCCCCTTCCCATTAAAAAATTCTGGCTACGCCACTACCCTCAAGTACCACTGTTGGGCAATTATTTGGTAAAGCAAAGCTTACACTTTTTTTTTATCAAAGCTCTAGATTTGGAGATGATAATATATAAAGATGATTTTATTATTAAAATCCAATAAAAAATAAATAAATAAAACATATATTTTAGATTTTTAATCATATTTTTTTAACTTGTTTGAATTGAAATGTTAATTTTATGGAAATAGATCAAAAATATAATATATTAAATTTTTATTTATAAAGTAGCATAAAAAGGTAGCTAATGGCGCGCTATCTTACTTGCCAAATAGCATTAACGATAATTGAATTGATAAAAAATTCTTTTGTAAACAATATTCAAAATTTTATATACAAAAAAAAAATTCATTCATAAATAATGAAGTAATAAATAATAGGTATAAAAATAATTTATCATCACATTAAATAAAGATCGATGAAGTCATTTATCGGTCCTAAATATCAAAAATTGCATAAATTATATCGCGCAACAATGGAGTAGCCCTAAATCAGCTAGGGAGGCTGAAGGGGAAAGCAAATTTTTTTAAATTTAAAACAGTTCAAAATAACTCACAATTATTTATTTTATCAATCAGTCATCCTTTTCCTTTCTCATATTTTTCAATCTACTAAATTTATTTAAACGCTTCAATATTTATTAAAATTAATTAAATCTTTATAGAATAAAATATAATTTTTAGGGAAATGGGGGATACATTTCTATAAAAAGATGGTTTAAATATTTTGTAACCAAGTATATTTTGTAGCCAAGTATGAATATTTTATAATATAGAGAAATACCATTCAAAGAAAATAAAGACCCTTTAAATTGCATTTTTCTCAATAGAAAGGGTACCAGATAATTCAGATTTTGATTGACGTTTTGTTTAAAAAACATTTACTTTAATTTGACATATACTACATTTAAAATTTAAATATTTTTTATGTACCTTCCCTTATTCATTGTTATAATAAAATACAAACTATGTAGTTCGCTTAATTTAAATCAATTTTATTTTACATATTTACTTGACAAATAAATAGTGGATCTCTTATTTAGATTGGAGCCAGAAGAATCTTTTTCTTATACTCAGGTTTGATTCAGCTTAGATTTTTTTTGATTTATCAGGCCTTAGCCTGAACTGAATTTTATTTTTAGTTTGAGGCTCGAATAATTTATATACATTTATATGAAAGATATAAATTAAATGTTTTATTTTTATAAAATAGAATAAAAATAAAAATCACTTAGTGTCCGAATTCCAGAGAGCATCTGATTATCACATTTTTTGCAATAAAAACAAGATAAATAAATTAATTCCTAATTTCTAATCTGCTTTATTTATCTTAGAAAAGCAGGTGTATTTTTACAAAATGACTTTCGCATTAATAAATTACCAATTTATATTTTCTCAAACCAAATTACACAGAAATTACGCATCGTTTTGTTTTATTAATCCTATGTTCCATAATCAAAATACTGCACTTTAATTACCGTTTGCTATAAAACGCGTTGTCAATGAGTCGTAATCTCCGTGAAACAATGAGAGAGCGTGCGCTAACAATAGAATTTTTGTTTGATTATTATCAAATATGGCCAGGCTGGAAAACGAATATTTGTTTTACGCATGCTAGCCCTGTAAATAAGCACCTTTGCACTTTGAAAGTCTCTAAATTATATTTTATTGATTTTTTTATAATTTTAAAATACATCTTCCTATAGCAGGACGTAACTATCATATATGATATCAATATCGATTTATTAAGTTATGAGAAATAACGCATTATATTATTTATGCAGTATTGTTTGGAATTTTTAAAAATATACTTTTTTGGTCAATACTATCCCACTCCTACCCGCACTCCTTCTCACACTATTTATTTTTACTCCTGTTTCTAGTGATATCCTAGTCATTTTCTGAATTTTAGACTCTTCTTTACACAAAATATTTAGAATATAAAAAGCTAAGAATTTGCGATTTTATTTTTCCCAATTTCAAGATATTTTTGTCTAATTTTTTTAATATTTGGAGATTATTTGTTCAAGGGATTATAATCAGAGGTAGATATGTGAAGGAATTTATAATAGGGTAAAAATTTTTGTTCATAAATACCCCTGATAAAAATTATCTAAAATGAAAACGGAAGAATTACACCTAACAATTTTTAATATTTTTCTTATAGTAAGTTGATATTTTTTATGATTTTTAATAGATATTCAGGAATGTTTCTCCATTGCTATTACATATTAGTCGCAAACTAAATGTTACTCAAAAATATAAATTATATTAAAAAATCAAAACTTTTTATATATGTATAAATAATTTAACTAGTAAAACGACTGAGACCAGAAAAATTAAATCTTGAGAGAAAAAATGTTTTTTTTTAAATTTGAAAATTACACATTTATCAGAGTTATCAAAAAATACTTGGCCTTAATAATGTATGAAGATTCCGATAAATTTTAAGATAAAATTAACTTGCTGTGATTTTAAATTTTGATTGATTCTGAATTTCAAACTTTCAACAAAATGTAAATTGACATTTTTGATCATAACTATTTCAAATATGAACAAAGAAAATTTTATTTTTATTCTAATTAAAAAAATTTTTAACCGTAGAAGTGTAAAAGTTTATAAATCTTTTTTAATTAATATAAATTTCCAAATATGTATGGGAGTTTTATTTTTTTGATAATATTAGATAATCAAATCAAATTTTTTAAACCTGAGACCAAAAAATTTTTGATACTTTTTAATTTTTTTGCGAGATAAAATGTTTAAATTTTAAAAAATTTTAATCTTTCCTAATGGGCCCATTAAAAGATGTTTCGCGCCACTAACCTCGATACTCACACAACAGTTACATATATATTATACTTCGTACTGTATTATTTTATATTATACATTAGTAATATGATGCGATTAATATATGTTTTTATATTTCTGACATAGTGGAGCACGCTTTGCCATGCTTTTTGAAATAATCTTCAAGGTTAACTTACCTTCATATTTAATGAAAATTATATAATATTGTCACTTTTTGTTTTAATCAAAATAAAATATATTTTTGAATATGGCCATTTCCATTTGTCTAACAGGCAACGTTTAGCATTTCGCGATAACTTATATTTAGTACGGTTAAAAAATGTTTCAAAATAAATCTGATTCTCAAAAGCGTTCAGATAAAATATCCAAATTATTGGGGGATTATTTGCTTAAAAGATATGTGATGCTGGGATCAACCTGTACTAAATGTGATGTAATAAATTTTTATATATTTGTAGGCTATAAAAAATTCTATAATTTATTAATATTTTTATATAGGTTATTTATAGTCAAAATTATAATATATCTTAAAATAGGGAGTGTTTAATTTTTAATAATGGGGTTGACTAACTGAATTACAATCAAAAAAAATAAAATATAATTATTTTAAGCATCTCTACATGATCTTGATTGCAAAATTAAGTTAAAAAACATGAATAAGCTACCAAAAAACTAAATAATTGTACAAGTAAATTGTTAAAAACTTATTAGGTAAAAAATTATCCATTTATACAGCTGCTACGTAAGATGATAAATCTTAATAAAAATATGGGGGGGGGGGAGGATTGGTGTTATCTCTAATGATGGTCTATGATTATATTATGTAATGTAATATAGCACCTCTAAATACATCTGTTGTTATAGTTTTTGAAAACACCTTTTTTACAAAAATATATGAAGTTTTTAAAATCTCCTATAACTAGGTATTTCTACCACAGGGCTAGATGGGAGGTGGATAAAACACAACTTCCTTTTTAAAATGGAAAGGGGGGGGGGTGAAAGAACTATTATCTTTAGAGGAGGAGAAGAGTAAATGAATATAAAGGATGCTAATTTGATTTAGACTTGATTCTTTTGCTAATTTAGATTTCTACCATTTTTCCTAATTTAGATTTCCTTGCTAATCTAATATATATATATATACAAAAGCTGGCCTTTAATGGCTTAGAAAAACAAAACAAAAAATTGAGTTTTTATAATCCAATAAAGTAACATTGATGAAAGTTAAATTTTGTTCTTAACTCTCCTTTCTTGAAAATATGAATTTGACTGTCTAGAGCTATAACTTAGAGAGCTTGATTGATTCAATATTAATTAGATTAATAATTTTGACTATAAAAAAAACAATAATAAAATAGGTAATGAATAAAATAAAAAACCTTATATCTTGTTAGATGTTGCTAAAGGTAACATCTGCATATAACATTTTTTTGTTAGGATTGCTATTATCACATTTGGATATAAATATTTATAAAAAATAATAATAGGAAAGGCATCTGATGGCCTTTCAATGAATATGTGTATAACTTACTGCATGGATCTACACAGAGTTGGACAGGTCATCCAGAAAAAGAATCTAGATAAAAATTCTTTATGAAAAAATGACAACTCAATCCATAAGTTCTTAAAATATGGATATGATATTGATGCCAAAAATTCAAATTATAGGAAAATTTTTCTTAAAATCTTTTGCCCATCTTGGGCAGCTTTTAATAAAGGTAGACAATATTTTAAACTTGAATTTTTATGATAGCCTATGCCCCTTTTAAACATATATAGACAATATACTTTAATATGTTTAATAAAATTTGTGTTGAACCCTTTATCATTTTTATACATGTTTTACATTCAGCCTTTACATTGTCTTTTTTAACTTTAATTTTATAAATCCATCTAAAATTATAAGATTGGGATTTAATTCAGGAGAACTTATTTCCATAATTTAAATTTTGATTATCATGACTGTTAGTCATCCTACAAATTAAAAAAATATTGCATAAAATTGTTATATTCTAACGAGTTATGTTTTTATATAAAATTTGATCTTTACTTATTTCATTTTGGTGTTGTTATGTTTTATCTATCTATCTTTATATGAGTTATAAATTTTCCAGCTAATTTTGGTTGTCAATATATTTTAAATATGGGGATAAAGAAATTAATACAAGATTTCCTAATAAAATAAGATATATACTGTGATATGTAAAATTTAAACATGAATATTAAAAAGTGTCTATATCTTTTGTCAAGAAAATGAAAAAGATACAAGATTCTTTTCAGAATAAATTATCCTAGATACAGATACTAGTATCTTGTTAAAAATGTCAAAAAGATATGAGTCCATGATACCAAAGGATTTTATATCTTAGGTACAAGTATTAGTAATGCTACCTAACTCTGGACTTAGGTTTGAATGTAGTAGGATATTGTTTCTTTTTCTGAAATTAATAAGATGGTAGTATGCTACAGGGTATATATTGTAAATTAGAATTAACCTCTGAATCTATTTGTTAAAAAATATTAAAAATGAGTTACTCATATTTGCATTTTCAATAAATTCGGTCATTTTTTTTAGTAAATTCCTAAATCTGAATTATGGTAAAGTGATTGAAGGGGTAACAATGTAACACAAATACCTTTTTAACCCTTGAGCATAAATACTTTTAACTTGGTGTGAATATGTGTTTTAAATCTAATTTATTGCATATGTTAATCCTTTGAAACTTTCCTGGTTTGAAATATTTTGCCAAAAAACCGTTTATTATAGGTAAAAGTTAAAGTTCCATCTGATTAAAACTGTAAAAAGATAGTTAATATCTACAGCATATAAAGATATTTTTGAGTAAAAAGGAAAATAAATATTTTGCTTGGAATAAATTTTATAGTTGCAAAGGAAAAGAATAATTAAATGTATGATGAGCCTAAAATGGACATACTCAAAATGTACTATTCAATATTTTGCTCTATAAAATAATATTTTAATAACTTTACCCTGATTAGCCATTTTACTCTGGGTATGGGGTGAAATGGCAAATATCCATATAGTTACACACTCAAAATGTACTATTCAATATTTTGTTCTATAAAATAATATTTTAATAACTTTACCCTGATGCTTAGCCATTTTACTCTGGGTATGGGGTGAAATGGCAAATATCCATTTTTATTTATTTCTCACAGTATTATCAATTTTCTTTTTAATAAACATTTTTTAGACTATTCTACTAAAAACACCTGCTGGGATTGAATATTGCGTTGGATGTTCAGAAATTGATAATACAATACCCGATATAATAACAGGTTTTTTTAAATATTAAATATTGATCAACCAAAAAATATATATTTAAAGACAATGATTTTGTGAAAAAATCTACCAATAATCAATCAGATTTAAATGCTCAGGGTGATAATGATGATAAAATATTGAGCCAAATTTTGAAAAACAAAATAGTGCAAATATCACAAAAGCTTGAAAGAGAGAAAGATTTAGACAATCAAATTAAAATATTGCAGATAATTAAATTATGCTTCGAAAATTTGGCAGATAACACAAAATGTATGAATTCTTAAATATTGTATATATTTGTAAAAGATTGTTTAACCATACATGCTTTTTTATTGTAAAATGTATATTGAAAACAATACTGTAAAAAATTTTGTATAAAATTACATAAAACGATTGTAGACATTCACTATTCCTGACAATCAGTTTGACTATTTAAATAATTGTTTAAAATATAAAAAGTTAATAATTCTTAATACAAATGTAACCACTCTTTATAATCATAGCTTTGCTTAATTTTTGAAATATTATTTATTTTGAGTGAATCAAGTTGGCCACAAATGGGAGTAATATTAGAATTTACATATTGCAATTGATTAGGCATTAAATTATTGAATTCATTTTCTGCTATGTCCTCTTTACCATCTTCAAGTATACAAAAGTCATCAGAAGAAAAAGATGGGCTACTGTGTGTTGAATGCCTTCTGGAGGTCATATCATGTTTCCCAATAATTTCAAATGTATCATGCAAAGGCATATTATTTAAATTGTAAGTTAAATCTACATTATGTAGTTCCTGAGACATAGGTTCATCTTTAACTGTGTCCTGAAATTCAGTTGACATCAATGGCTGATTCTGATCCTTTATTATATTAAAAGTAAGTTTTAATATTGGTTTAATACTTGATCAGTATTATTTATTACTTTTTGAGATGAAGATATCCATTCATCATTTGGAGATGATAATATTGATTTGAAAACAGAATTATAATTAAATTTGTTATTATACATAGAATTTTTGTAATCAATTGAGTTGGTTAAAATTTTAGAAAATAATTGATATTGCTCAATAATATCAGCCTAATATAATTAAGTATATAAAATTTTAATTTAATAAACTTTAAATTTTTTAGTAGAATTCTCATTAACTTTGTCATCACAAGCTCTCTTATCACTAAAAATAAGATATATAATTTTAAAAAAAAATAAAATACTTTTGATCAGAGATATTAAGTGAATTATTTAATACATATTTTGTTAATGTTTGAGATTCATTTTCCTAAAAAATAAATAGAATATTAATATAAGCAAGATTTTTACTTTAATTGAAGTTTTTATGTCATTTATCAAATTATACATATTATTGCACAAGAGAAATAAATTATTTAAAATTGAATCTAAACATTGATTAGATGAGTTTAAATGCATATGAGGGATATTAATAGCTAGACAAGCGTACGTGACTAATTTTGATTATCTAAAAATGAATGAAACGTATTTGTGTCCTTGTAGAACTAATGCTAAACCTTACCAATGCGTGAAAATACAGTGCACAAATAATTAGTACCTAAACAGGAAGAAGTTTTAAAATATAAGCAATTTTTTTAAACAGCAAAAGAAAAATCTGAAACTTATTAAGACTAAATTATGCTGGTTAATCATTAGGAAAATCATATGTGGATCCACTGAGTCCCTTATTTCTTTGGATTACTTTTGCAACCATTTACATGAATAAAAACTTGGGTAAATATTTGCGTGGAGTTTATAAAACGACCATAAATTAAACTGTTTGGCTAGCATGGATTGGACTATATCGATATATTATATTTTAAAGTTATCACATCACGTTTATTAGAATGTCCTATCTTTTTATAAATAATTTAAAGTATAGGTATAGTAAAACTTGCTTATACCAAGAAGAAAGCCTAGTTTTAGTCAGCATGAAATATTTCTGAACTTATCCTAAGAACTTTAAAAGTATATAATATAATTCTAAACATATTTACTAATCAATTAGTGTAATTATATTTAAATATGAAATTCAATATGACTTAGTTAATTTTTTTTTATCCCCCATGCTCCCTACACTTTTGAATTTTGCTCAGTCTCACTAGTTTATACCTTTTTCTCATTGTAAATCCATCAAACCAATAACTTTACCTAATCTTGTATTAAAATTCTAATAATTTGTCCTAATAGTCTTACAGAGCCAGTGTAGGATCATGAAAACACTACCGTAGGAATATTTTGCTAGTACATATGGTAGTTTTTATATATTATTGATTTCAAAATGCCACACCGGGATGGAGATAACATATTTAAAAATATAGACCAGGTCGGTGGTCTGAAAAAATATTAATGTTATATTTTCCCCCTTTTGTTTAAAATGTCACAATTAAAGAATTAAAAAGAATAAGGAGGGGAAAATATTTCATATTCGTTTTCTAACGAATTTTGTAAACAAGATCATTACCAAAGTTATTGCTAAATATTTAAATTTAACGCATAATATTAGTTAAGAATATGAGATTGATAAATAAAACTTTTCTATTGAGTTTTTATCAGTTTGTACCTAAAATTTTAGCTGGATTTTTTTTTAAAAAAATTGTGATTTCAAAGATACTTTAAGCATAAAAATAAAAATCTTTGAAGATATTTTATTTTAAAGATCATTTCAAACTTTAATTTTCATTATTATTATAAAGCTAATTTTTTAATTTCGCTAAATTTTTTAAATAATATAAAGTATTCTGTTTTTTGTTGATTGAATTTAAATTTAGAAAAATTTTCTGTATAAAATAATTTTCATTTAATATATACTTACATATTTGCAGTTGTTGACTAAAATATAATTTATTATTTTCAATTATTAAATTATCTTATTTAATTAGTTATTGTGGATTTTTGGAACATATGTTCATATTATTTAAGTTAAAAAGATACAAGACCATTCTAGCGTGAGAAGTTAAACATTTAATAAATCAGGGGCATGGAACAGAACTTTGAGTAAATTTATGGAACGGAATCGGAATGTTCAATTTCTTATCGATTTATTCTAACACCACAAAGAACCAATATAAATGAATATCTTTTAGAAAATATATTATTGCTATGTAATAATTGATTCATTTGATGATTAAATAAAGATTAATTAAAATGTGTTATTAAAATATATATTTCGATATTTTTCTAAGAACGAAAAGCTGAAACGGAACCTGAATGGAAATTTTTTTAACCGGAACAGGGACTGAACGGAAACTCTAAAATGCTCTGGTTCCTGAATAGATTCTTCTCTTCATCTTAAAATACGGAAATTAAACTAGTAAAGAGATAAATTTTTTAATGTGCAAACTTTTGAAATATCAATTTTATAATTGATTTCGAAACGCTCGATTTTTGGCAGCCATTTACATGGGATCTCAAAGACTATGGTATGTTATTAACCTAATATTTTATTTTGCTTATAAATCTATTTTTTTTTTGCAATAAAATTAGTTTACTTTTATTGGCGTGCATTTCTATATATTTAAGACAAATTTGAAATATTTCAAAATGCCCCAAAACCTTTATAATTTTTCTAAAGCCGTAATCGAAACTATTTTAAAATTTAAGTAGCTGTGACCGCACTGTAACATTTTCATTGGCTCCCTTACCCTAACAAAAAACTGGAACTTTTTAGGATAACGGTTCTTATCCATAATTAAAATAGAGTATAAAATAAATATTTTGAGTATATAATTTATTCCCTATGAGCTTTTTCTTTTAAATTTGGGCTGCTACTAGTAAAGAAAATTGCCACCGGGTGTCAAAAAATCAATTTTGCAGATCACTATGCAAGGACCCCCTTTTTGAATTATTTGAATTTTCTTTTTTTTTAAACTAATTTTTATTTGATAGAATGAGGAATAACGAGGTAAAATTAAGAGGGAGGGGGTAATATCATCATTAGCCTAGGAGGGGATAGAAGTCCTTGATAACAGCCATTATTATTTCTCATTTATTATTTTTGATGCAAAAATATTTAATATAACCAAGAACAAGAATGTACAAAAATGAAAATACTTTTAAAATTTTTAAAAAACATTTCACGCAAATAAAATACAAATAGGAAGAAGAAAAAAAAGACTAAAAGTGAAGATATTTCTTAGAAATATTTAATTAAATATATGTTATTTTATAATGATGAAAATAGAAGATGAACATTATTATCTTAAATCAAATTCTCGGAAAAAGTAAATTTTAAAAAGTTCAGGGTTAAAAAATATTTAAAAATATAATAAATAAATATTATATTCTTTTTTGTTTTACTGAACTTTTTAGAAATGAAAATGTTATTCTCGGTAGTCACAAGGAAAACTAAAAGTGAAATATTTTTGACTATTAATTCAAACTGCCTTTGGCTATAATAAAACATATATAAATTACATTGAATTCGCAGATGTTTGAAAGAGCCATATTTCGCAAATTTTTATTAATTTCGCCTAGTTTCTAATAATTATAAGCAAAACCTATTTTATATTTTTAATCTAGTGCCCAGAAAATTTAATATTTTTTTATGCCCGATTCCGGCCGAAATTTTTTTTAGTTTTTAAGCTATAGCCCGCCTGGAAATTTAAAAAGCCCCAGAGGAAATTTGATTTATAATATTTTTAATTAAAGGCAAGCATCAATTTATTTTTATATTTTTAAACCGGAACTTGGCCCGATTATTCCCGATCGGCCGACAGGCAGAGAATTCTATTTTGATTCATCGTCACGGGAAAAAATATTCTGTTATTATAGTGCGCACAAAGCGTTTCGAACGCTAATAATGCATTTCAAATATCGCGTAAATTGGGCAAATTACCGTGTGGAGTTAGAAACCATTTAAAAAATACAAACTGGTTTTTTATTCGTTCATTTTGCACTTTGCTAACCAAATAAATTAATAGGGGGGGGGGCCTTACATTAAAAATCCCATCTTGGTTATTTAATAATATGTAAACTTAATATTATAGAGTTTTTTAAAAAACTTACCTTTTAAAATGGAATATTTCAAAATTAATGATATAAAAAGGCAGATGATAAATATAATTTACATAAACCAACAACTAACCTGTAATGATTTTATTAATTCGGTATATAAATTTATTATATATAAAATATAAAGAAAGATAATATAAAAATGAAGAATTATAAAGTATCATCATTCGATTTGATATATAAATTATAATATTCTGCATAAAGATAGAAAAAATATAAAGAAAATTACAAATTATCTTATTGTAAAACCTCCATCTAGAGGCAAACTTATGCCATTTATGATACTCGCTTTATCACTGAGCAAATACAGTATCGCATTAACGATCTCGGAAACATCTACGATATTATGTTAGAATTTCATTTAAAAAAAAACATAAATTTAAGGAATCTAAGATGCAGCATTATTTTAAATAATTTTAAAGAGATTAATTATACCGGCAAATCTTTGTAGCGGAATATCTTGTCTCATTTTTTCGCTTAAAGGATTATCACGAGACCAATTAACCTTTCCCATATCCGTCATAACGATCGTTGGATTAACTGAGTTTACTCGTATCTTAAGTACGATATATATAAAAAGAGTTCAATATAAATATGTCACATTAGCGTCTACATGACAGAAAATTTGTTGGAGGCAACCTCCCCTCAAATTCTACTTCTATCCCTCTAAAAAAAATTTATGAGATAACGACCCCAATGATATAACAAAAAATCTTATAATGAGCCACCATTTATAATCTTCCAAAAAATTCTAATTAAAATTTTTCCAGGCCTCATAAATTTAGGCTAGGAATAACAAATAAACATTTGTTAGTGTTAATTAATAGTTGTTGCTAACTGTATTCCAAAAATTAGCTATGAGCGTGAATAAATCAAAACTGTACTCAAATGTTATCTGAGAATGAATGATTTAAAATTTTTCGAATTTTTTTAACATTTATTTTTATCTTTAAATCTACAAATAGTGTTTATTTTAACTATTACCCCTTTGGACGCCTAATACCCTCCAAAAAAATTGAAAGCAAATGCTACCCCCTCTCTCATGTAGACGCTTGTCACCATTATATAGAAAATATTGATAATATCAGCGATGCACCGATACATATCACCACTGATAAATATATTTTTAAAAAAATACCGAAATAACATATTACAATTAAACTCCAATCATATTTTATTTGAATTCACCAATTTTTTATTTTTTGAATATATAATAAATATTATAAAATGATATTATTTTTATCTTTTTACGAAGTAAGCAATGCTTTTGTGATTTATATTATATTTTTTTCCCCATAAATTTTGAAATATTGGTAAAAGCATATATAAATTTTTAAAAACTTTTTAAGAGTCACAAATGATAATACACGTCTTCCACGCAAAAGATCAAATAAAAAATTATAAATTTCAAATTTTTTTTGATCCTTTTTTTTCTAATGAGACTATGATTAGTTTATTTATTTAGAAAGTCGCTAGCCAGTCATAAAATAATTTTTTTTAGTGTTGTTAAAGTAGCTGTAACTATTTCCATATTTGACAAAAAATGACGTTGCTTTTGAAAAAATATAATTAATCACGGATTTTAGAATGTACAATATTAACTATTTTCAAGTTAATATTTAAAATATGTTATTTAAATAAATATATATATATCTTATAATTTCACAAATTTAAAATATTTAAAATTTATAGGAGATAGTTAGATCTTTTTTCTAAATTCATAATAAAAGGTGGAAGATCAGAAAAATCTTATATAAAAAAAATAAAACTTTTAGAAGGAAAAAAAATAAATCAAAAAATGCTGAAAAAGGAGAAAATTGAAAAATGGTGTATTATAAAAGGTTACAATAAACTTTATCTATATCTATATTTATATTTTAAAAATCTAGAGATTAGCCACAAGATAATGGCGGAAGATTGCATATATGATGCTAATGATCTCATGTCTTTTCAGGAGGACTATTGCCACAGATAAATTCTATATCACATGAGATAATTTTTAATTACGGCGTCATAGCATAATAGGAGGGACCTGCAAAAATTTATAAACGTATTTTAGTCATGAATGATATATTTTTTTTATGTAATCACAATATTACAATTTTTATTTATCTGATGGATAAATTTACATTTCATATATTTTTAGGCGTAATGATTTTTTTTTTAAAAATGTTTCCGTAAATTTTTCAATTGCATAATTAGATATCGCGATAAACAATTACACTTGACAGCAGTAACGGTTTTCCCTATATAAGTTTCAGTTGTATAGGTGCCGACTGGCTAAACCTTTTCGTCTTAGCCATAGCCAATGTAAATGCCTAATTAGGCATAAAAACGGCTAGAGAGCCAATTTTTTCCGATTCAATAAATGATAATAAAGTTTCTCGATGAATATCAATTGTAAAGCTTTGCATTCTATTGTTGAGCATCTTTTTTTCTGTCACGGATAGAGTTTAAGAAGTACACGCTATCGTATTTCAGTTCTATTAATTTTGCTAAATAATACTCCAACGATGCCGTGTATCGAAGCATTACATGTAATGGTTTATCAAGGTAATAAAACTAAAACTTTTGTTGAATTGTATCCATAATTTCCATATATATTTGGTGTTCGCCTTTTTAATAGATCACACAGAGGGGCCGCAATTGAAGATAAAATCATAAGATTGCATATCAATTAGAGAATGAGGGCTTGGTGCTAGTTTGCTGTTATTATTCATTTTTTTATTTGAAGACTCCATACCATTTTCGATAATTTGATGTCTTAAGTATTTTATACTTGTTTTGGAAAATTTATTTATTTAAATTTATTTTTAAAAAAATTATCTAAATTTTTCAAGTATTCTTATATTGGCATGGGCTGATAAAATAAATGATGCATTGAACAAATAGATTGAAATTAACATAATAGAACTAGTTTTTCAAGCTGGACAAGCCCCATCGTTCCTTTAATAAAAACGAATTGGATTGTTTAAATAACAAAATGACAATAAATCCGTATATACAACCCAATAATCATATATTCTGGATTAACGAATTATTCCAAAAACTTCAAAAAACAGTGATCTTTCTAATAATCAATTAACAAAAGAAGTATAAGAAGCTTTTATCTACAAATACTTAGGATTCTATATGAAATGAAAAAGAATGCCTTTTGGAATAACAATAGTTTCCTCCGAGGATTGAAAATGAGGGGAATAAAAAGTAAATATAGGCTAAGTCAGTGGCGTAGCTACGGGGGGTGGTTTTCGGGTTTAGACCCCTCCCAAAGCTAAATTTTTTTTCTAATTATACGTTCAAAAGACTTAAAAGTAACTTTATATTAAATAAATTCCATTAATATTTATATTTTTCTGGTTTTGATGTTTGTGGAAGGATATTATATTCCTATTGAAATTATTCTATATAGTATTATTACAAAGTTATTGAGAATAATCTACTAAATTATAATAACATATTATTGATGCATTTAAAAAAAATATATTTATTATATATTATAGAAGATATGGTTATGATTTGTAAGATTAACCTGGCCGAAGGCCGGAGAAAAGGGCCGAATATATGTATGGACCCCCTCTAAGAAAAATTCCTAACTACGCCACTGGGCTAAGTGTATTTCTTTTTCGTTCATTCTAAGGCATGATGTGGGTTAGGTTAATCTAAGTAAAAAATAAGATTATGATAAATTCTTAATTTTATGGCACCAAACCTATTAAACTCGGTAAAATCTAACAAATAAGTATCTATTAGTTTTTACCGAACTAGGCGGTTCAGACTAAGGCCGCTGGCTCGTTGCGGTTAAGGATAAAAAAATTTGGGGGGAGTTAATATAAAATAAAAAAGTGTTTCATAAAATGTAGCAAAACTTAAAGCACCCAATATTAATTTTTGAGTGTATATTAAAAATTTATAACTTTAAATATAGTGGTGGCCATTTAAACTTTAAAAAAAATACTTTATTAGATCTTCAAAATAGGCTTTTTTTAAAATTTTAAACCAATCAAAAAATCTCTTAGAAATGGGCTATTATTCAGCAATTTTTTTTTAACGAGTAATCAGGTTTGAGCATAGCCTTAAATAAATTTAAAAAATGGTTCTTAAAAAAAATTAAACAATTTTTACGATAAATTATTTTTTTTAAAAATATCGAATAAAATTTTGCAAATCAAGAAAATCTAATTTTTTCTAGTGGATAATTGTATCGAAAAGTTATCAAAACTAACCTATAGAGAAAAGGATCATCGGCATTCGGTATCGATGCATCACTTATTTAAAATATCAATTAATAGAACGAACGGTATATATGGCATATGAAATCCGTGGGGATTTAGAATCTCTCGATTTTAAATTATTTACTGAGTACGATTTTAACATTTTTAAAATCCAATTTAACCGGAAATGGATTTCAGCATGTATATATAGAACACCTACCCTGTAAATTTTTAGATAGCTTTTGCCATAAACCTTTGTAAAATACATTGTAAAATTTGAAATGAACAGTGTGAGTGCTTTATATACGTGCTGGAATGCATTTCCGGTCAAATCAGATTTTTAAAATATATAAATCGCCCGAATTTATTGATTCAAAATCGAAAGATTACGAATCCCCATGAATAACATATCCCGCTCGACATTATATACAAATATTTTAAATACTCATTTCATCACAATTTGGCTTACAAAGAAAAATCTTCTTAAATGTTGTGCCAGCAATTATCATTTAAAAAAATATAGTGAACACGTTATCTTTTAAGCGTTGTTATTTAACGTAACGTTATTACAAAATAAAGTTTAAATTGGTGTAAATTTATAAATATGGAGGGTTAAAATGATTTTTCTTAAATATTATATAAAATGATTATCTCTATTTTAGCTTTATTTTAAATTAGTTTTTAAAACTGAATCAGTTAGAATAACGCTTTGTTTAATAAGGCAACGCTTGAAGATAACGATAAGCTCTCGATATAGGGTTAAGCTTTTAAATTGATTTAAATGATCTAAAACAGACCATATCTTAAAATGTATATTAAATACATTAAAGGTAAACATTTTTAGGTCCCAGCTCAAGGGCCATACATCTAGTAAGGGCATCCAGAGCCGCCTTAGAGGCACTGTAGATAGAGTGGTCAGGAATCGCTACAAGGGCAGCCTGGCTGGATACGTTAACAATGGAGCATCCTTCAGTGAGGTTGTGTTGGAGCATGTAATGAACGACGGCCTTGTATCGCGTTTCAATTTTGACATGAATTATGTTTAAAAATATATCGATAAAATGGTTTCAATTAAAAAATATATTCATGCTAAACGTTGAGTTTGGCCGGTGTGAAAAGTTTGATTAGTCGAAAAAACACGTCATATTACAAAGATTATTTTTTGAATAAAATGATAATTTATTTTACACTTTACATAATGAGTAGCAAATAATCTCGCCCCCTCCCCAAAAATGGCCTCCTAAACAAAATGACCGCCTTTTTTTTTATGTAACATAGATATTGGAATGATCGATTATAAAAAATTTCGGTGTTTGTTTGGATTCTACAGAAAATTTGTTGACTACTATTAAAACAATTGTCTAAAAACGTAAGAAAAAGGATATGCGAAAACTACCGTGAATTTTTTTTTTTTTTAAAAGAAATTTATTAATAATTCCAACTATATAATTACACATTTTCGGCCAATCAGATCATTCAGGCAGGATAAGTCACCGTTTAGTTAATCAATAAATCTAAATAATACAAGAAATAAAAATTTACCGTGAGACATTTGGTCACTTGGTAAAAAAAAATTTCTATTTATAACTATCTAGCTTTTATTTTAAGATCTATCAATTAAAGATCGGCGGCCCGTGATGTTCCATTGGAATTTTCGGACTGGCCGGTAATTATTTTAACCCGATCTAGCCCGTAAAACATACTTTGTGCAAGTTGTCCAGCCCATAATAATTATTATGAACGACGTAAATTTGCGTCATTATCAACTTCGAAAAAAAAATATTTTTAAGACCTTAGCTCGGCTGTCCGGCGCTAAAATATTTACCACCGGAGACCGACCTATTTTTAAAAAAATGCTCAATTTTTGGCTGAATAAATAAATAAATAATAGAATACTTGGGAAACATTGACAACGGCATTAAAATTGACATCGAATTGACTAAAATATATAGAAAAAAATTTTTGGTGAGGAATTACTTGAATAACAAAATATTTTTAAGTATTTAATATAAGATAAAATGATTGGTCGATCTTTAAATAATCTGATTAAAGCCCTTGAAAATTGGGCCTAAATTTGTTAAAAAATTAGTTTTCTCTTCTTTTAATAAAATAAAAAACAATTTTAATTAGAGACTGGCCAGAACAAATTAATTAATGTTTTTTAAAATTTGATTCAACTTTTAATAAAACTAGTTTAATTTGTATATCACAAAGAGCAGGCCGTAAGCCCGGATATACGAGCCGGGCCGTATTTTAATTTTTTTTTATATATAACCGGGCCTGGCCTAATATATATTTTTAAAAAAACATGAATCGGGCCGAATATTTTAAATCGCCATTATTTTATATAAAAATTAAAAATAATATATCGGGCTGAAATTTTTTTTTTCAAATCCGGGCCGGGCAAATAATACCTTTGCAAGTCTCTGATATTTTTCAATCAAAGGTTTGGAGCTCGAACTAGCCTGAACCGACTTAATAATTGTTTTTGGATCTTTTTTTAAAAAAAATTGTAATTTCTGATGAACTTTAAAAAAAAATGGCCTTGTTAATTATTAATATGTTCTAAAATAAACGGAAAATAATTATCAAAGAAACTAATATGCTTTATTAAATAATTTAAAGATGTAGGAGAATCGCTCCAAAATTCTAAGCTATATATTATTTTTGTTTGTTTTAAAAAAGTCTTTATTTATTAAAAAATATAAAACCCACAAATTAGTTTTGGTTCTTAATTCAAAATTGTATTCAGAAAAGAAGCCTGTAAGTAGTGCTGTTAAAAAGCCCGATTTTTAAAAAGGGCCCGATTAAGATTTCAGGCAGAATAATTTGGTGTAAGACTTAAGATTTGGAGAGTATAAGCCTAAACTCTGCCATCTGTGATCAAAATCACCAGGCTAGGCACAATATTAAATTTGGTTATAATCTTAATCGGATCGGGCTTTTTAACAACACTACTTGCAACACTTTTTTTAAATTCTTTTTTTTAAAAAAAAATTGGTGCTCTCACTTAAAAGGTGACTTATTACCACTTTTTAGAACATTTATTTAGAATTTTAAAAGGAAAAGAGACCAAGGACACATGCTAATAGTTAATGATAGTGTCCAAGAATTGAGAGTCAAAATAATAAAACAATGTATAGTAAAAAAAATTAAATATGCGCAGTTATTTTTTAAAAAAAATAAAACATCTGACATTTTACTAGTCTGATCAAAATACAGAGATAGAAAAAATAAGACTTTGAGATGGCTATTTAAAATTTGTTCACTTTAAGCTGGTATCAGCTCAAATTGTACGATTTATCAACATTATGATTTCCTTTCCTTCTTTTTATTTATTCCACGAGTTGAAATAGATGGTATAAAAATGTACATGATATTTCATAATTTTAATGTAAAATCCGGCTAAATAGTTTAAACCAAATAAGCCGTGATGTATAAATCATCATCCAAATTTACAATTGAATCGAAGGCTTATCGATTTCCAGAAATCGTTGCAATTTGGCGACCCCGGCATTATTAACCAAAAGATGGATCGGACTAATTTTTTCAATGTGACTCCAGGTGTTCTCCCAGTCAGTTACATCGGATAGTATAGTGTTTATTTTAGGGTCCTGTATAATATAATATATTATTATTTATTTGTGATAAATTGGTACAAATTTACTATTATTCATCATTAGTTTCATTCAGTTTGAAAAAAAAAATCTCTTTTTTTAAAAAAAACTTTTGCAATTTTTATGCATTAAAAATCCTTCAAGATGAAATCAAAAAAAAATTTTTTTAAACTGGTCTTATAAAAATTTTAAATTTGAAAAATATTGATTGTTAAATATTGGCAACAGATGCAACTTTTTTAGCCGATACCAAAAAAAAATAATAGCACTTTTTTTTCTTTCCTTTATCTGGTTTAGAAAATTGTATAAAAAATATATTTTTTTTTAATTTATGAAGGTCGTTTTTTTAAATTACAAGTATTGATCAACACCAAATATCGGTCCATATCTGATTTGTAGCAGAAACGGGCGTGTAATAATGTGCACAAATTGAGCGTTTGCGTTTTGAGCACTTTTTTAATTTAAAAAAAAACGTAACGTATCCTTTGTTTATCTAAAAAGGCAAATGACAATTGGCGTTGAAATGCATTATTAACGTTTGCAACGCTCAATTTGTGGGCACTATAAGACAAGGATTAGAGAGGAAACATAACATTATAAATTTCTCGTATAGTGAAATATAAACTAAAACAGTGTTAAAATTTTTTAATTTAAATTTCTTACACTTAATCACCAATTCGTTTGGTTTTTTTTATTGATTGGGAAATCACTTCCTACTTAAAAATGAGCTTTATTGCAGTTCCAATAAAAATATCGAAAACAGGTGAAAGTGCATCTCATATTTATAATATTATGTTGCATGTTTACAATTTAGCTTGGTAGCTATAGCTAATAGCGGCTATTTTTTTTGTAATTATTAAATTTTTTGCGCGCTACTTTTTTTGAAAGTAGCTAAGTAGCCGCTATTTTAAAAAATATAATGAAGGTAAGTATAAACATGAAAATTATAATAATCATAATTAATTATAATTTATTATTTAATTTTGAAATTGAAATATATTTTCAATTTGTAATTTATAATTTTATTTGTATTATAAACCTAAATCACGTGTTAATAATTTAAAATGTCATCGCCTATGGATATCCAAATCGTTAAAAATGATTCAGACAATGATATTAATGAAATGGAGGATACCAGGGAAGAAAATGTTCCTAATAGCTATAATACAAATTTCCCATTCCCTAGATTTGAATATTTTTTAATAAATATATAATCCAAAACTGGCTTCAAATTTATTTGTTTAAAAATGTAAAAAAAAATATTTCCTCAAATCAATCCAGTAGCTATAACCTCAAGAAACACCTAAAGGTTAATTGTCATTTTTACATTCTAATAATATTTATTTTATAAGACTGTTCATGAGTTTTAAGGAAATGGAGAAACATCTTAATAATTTTGGTATAGGCGACTCTACATCCAAAAAGACTAATTTCAAACCGAATTAATTAATAATGCAAATGACAATATTTTTCAGATATTGGCTGATAAAGTTATTGTTGATTTTATAATTTATACAGTTCAGCCAATGTCCTTGGTTGATAGTCCATCATTTACCATGATTAAAATTCTATCCTCTGGTACACAATTTTATGCCGCCAGACACTAATAAATAAAATAGCAGATAACTTTAAAATGATGAAAGATGCTCTAATAGTAGAGTTAACAGACATATCATATATATGTACCACGGCAGAGAGTTGGATACATAACAGAAAGTAAAAGCTTATTTATATTTATAAATTGATCTGATTAAATATTTTTGAGCTTATTTAGGAATCAGAGACCATTGGCTAGGTCCTAGGACTTTAAAAAGAATATCTGTGGCATTAGCCCTCAAATGATAGGATGCCAGACATACGATGTACTTGCAAATAAAATTATTGATAATCTATCTTATATTAAAAATATGTATATAAGATTAAATACGCCCTTATCCCTCAAGTGCTAGTGTCGAGAGATTATTTAGTAAGGCAACACTTATATTTTCTGATAGTCACTCTAGATTTGGGGATGATAATATTGAAATGATTATATTATTAAAATGCAACAAATTACCATAAATATATTTTTATTATATAAATTTTTTATAATCAAAACTAACTATTTTTTAATATTTATAAGATTTTTATATATTTGCTATACAATAAAATTATAAGCAAAAAATACAAATTTATTTGTAAATTTTTTTTATAAAAAGTAGCTAGTAGCGTTTAACAACTCTGCAATTTAGTTAACTCATCAAATGAATATATGAAATTATTATAAGTGTAATCAGAATAAACTAAATTTTTTTTTTCTTCATAAGTTTTCATTTTCTAAATTTCAAACGGCCAGCTTCGAGTTTGGGACTTCATGTACATTGATTCAATTACTCTATCCAACCTTAACGTTGATGACCTCGCTAAATCTCAGAAAATCGAATATAGTTCCATATATCCTTCTTACATATTAATACCCAGCATTCGCTTTAATCTAACCTCTTTTGGTAGCAAAGCTCAAAGCTTTTTTAAAAAGATTAGGAAGACACAGATCCACGAAATTATCAATAAACACAAAGAATCTCTTTTTATAATTTGCACTAACTACCTAAGCTGTATCTCTTCAATTAAATAATCTCCCATGCCTCCTCCATCATTATCTTCTTCTGTCCCTTTGATTATTTTTGCTACTTTCCTAATTTTCTTAATCTTCTTCCATTCTTTTTATTCTCCTTAATCATAAACAGAAAAAACTCTCCAACCATATTAAAACCCCAAGATGATTCAGTTTAACCTAGGTTACAAGGCTTATTAGTGGTTCAGTTAAAGTAGCAAAAATTTTAATGGTTCAGGTCAAAAATATCAATTAATACCAATTTAATGGTTTACTTTTGATCCCTGTTAATTTTTATATATTTTAGAATCCTTGGAATTTTGATTATAAAATGAAACCATAACACTGATGTTGTGGCAATGACACGTCTAATTTTCTACACATTTTTACTATGATTTTTCAACTTTTTTAAAAAAGTCCTATCAGTATTCTCATGCTTAAACATTTTATGTTCAAAATTATTTTAAAGTAAACTTATATATGGCATTTCAGTTAGATGACTATATATTCTGATTTTAGTATTTAATTATAAAACCAATTGTTCAATTAATTATGTAAAATTTTTTCAAATAAGATGCACTTTTGTCGATATTGTAACAATAAATAAATATGTAAAATAAACAATATTCTACAAAATTTAAATATTATTTTATAATGTTCTATTCTAAAATAGTAATTGTCAATAAATTACAGATACCAAGTCAGACAAATACTACTTGGGTATCAGTTAAATTCATCACTTTTTTAAAAAATATATAGTATTATAAAATATGATGAAATAAAACAAAAATCAATTTAAATTTGAGGCTTTTCTTTTGGATTTTAATTAATTTAATATTTTAAATATCAAGATGATAAATATACTAAATTAAAATTTTTACTTCTCAGAAGAGAATAAAAAGGTAATGAAAGCATTTAAAAAATTGAATGAGTCTGAAATAAAGAAAAAAGCATAAGAGAGGCTATTTCCTATGATTATTTTAAATAAAAAGTAAATATGGTCTAATTGAATATTTATACAATAAATTATAAAGATTAGTATTATTTTTCAGTAATTTTAATGAAAAACATTCAACTAACCTTTATGGATCATTGAATAATCAGGTATCAGCAAAAAAAGTTTTACCCAATAAGGTTCCCATTCAAAAACATAAAAATTCAAGAAATATCCTTATTTTTTAAAAACTCAATTGGAAGATATTGCAATCTTTTTAAACTTCTACCAATATCATTAAATTCCTGATTTTATCTGTATTTCATGTTTCCCATCTCTTGACATTATACTGATTGATATTATGTATTGGTGAACATTTTAGTCAAAAATAATAAAGAAAAAATGCAATTTTAAGAATGTTATAAATGAAATATAATGAATGTTTGATTTTGAATATTCAAAAAATAAAACTAATTTGTTTTTAAGTTTTTAGAAGTCTAATTTTTTTTGTTTTCCAACCTCAATCAAATATATTTGCCTAGCTATTATAAATAGTCTACTTCTTTTGACAAAGTAAGCAGACTTTCTTCAGTTTTTGACATTGCATATACTTTAGCACCAGCTAAACTAAGAGCTTTTGCCACATCTCTTCCTATGCCTTTGATAATTTAATTTTTTTTTTAAATTTAACAGATTTTAATTTTTTTAAATATATTAAGTAAATTTTTTAAATATAAAATTCATATAAATAAATAATATATATTAGATTCTATAAGAAATTAAAATTATTTAACTCTCTAATTAAAAAATAAATTAGAAAAAAATAATAGTTGCTAAATTTGATATCAATAAGAATAGTCAACATTTAAAAATGACATAGATTTGGGATTAATACTTAAAAAAATGTTAATATCATTGCTTTTATTAAAAATTATATAATAAATAGAAATCCTTTAATCTTAAACCTCGACCAGCGCCTGTTACTAAAGCATTTTTTCCTTTAAAATTTATTTCCATAATTATTATTTTTTAAATGCTAAAATCAAAAGATTATAACATTATTTTGAATGACATGAGAGGAATGTCTATTATATTAGGTCCTATTTTAACATGAAAATATAATATAAATATAGTTTAAAAACAAAATAATTAATTTATAAGAAATTAATTTATTCTAACAGAGGGTCATATCTACAGGTGGGAAGGGTTATGAAAATGTTTTGGGGGTTTTATCTCAGATTTTCTTGGCTTTGATCCTGCCTATAAAATATATTGATTCTTGATTTTTGTGTGGCTATTTTTAATTTGCTTTTTTTAAAGTTAGCAATATCTTAATATCAACTTTGCTAACGTTGACTGCTATTATAAATAATACTAAATCTTTGCCAATGTTTCGTTCTAAAATGGAAATAACAATTTAATAATACTAAAATCTTTGCCAATGTTTCGTTATAAAATAAAAATAACTATTTGATAACAAAAGTCTATCATCTCAACAACTAACATAGCAAGAAGTGTTGTTATTAAAATCGACTCGAATCGGACTTTTTAACAACTCTAATAGACAGTATTAAAGGGGAGTGAAGGGGGATTTATTAACAAACTTTGGTCGACCTCACTCTTATTGAATATATTCTAAATATTTTATCAATATTTATATTATATTTAAATCCGTTTGGCAATATAAAGGAAGAGAGTTATTTTATAATAAAAGATTTGCAAAATATAGAAGAACTAAATATTTGGGTTGCGCTTTTAGCGCCTGACTAGTAAAATAAGAAAAACTGCCACACATGTATGCCAGAATGGAAATTAATTCTAAATATATATTTTGAGTTAATATTTATTGTGGCAAAATAAGAAAAATCACTAATATTGGCCATTATGCATGAATAAAAATTATAAAAGCTCTGAAAATTTAGTTACGCCAATTACTTAATTCATTAATATTTTTTTTTCAGGCAAATAAATAGAAGTCAGTTATAAGCGAAATGATATCTATAACGGCACCGTCTAAATTTTAAGTTCTTTCCCAATCAAATTAATGTTTATATGATTCTGTAATCTTTATAGAATCTTTTCAAAATAAATCTTAATATATCTAGCGTGCTATATTTTCAAATATTTGGCAGAAAAATCCATATTAAAATAGACTTCTGCCTAACAATAATTCCAATAGTTTAATCAAATTAATTTTTCTAAAATATAATTTAAATTTATATATCAAATTTTAAACTATTGGGTTTGACAGGACGGTCCGGTTCGACCGAAGACCGATTAAAAAGATAAAGGTTTTCTATTAATTACCTTTTAATTAATGTACATGAACACGTAAAACATATTATTTATGCATAACACTTTATATTATCTCATTCGTTGTTTGCCTTTATTCTTTTGTATAAACTTTATATATAAATTATTTATTTATTTTATTTTTTATTAAACAAATTATTTATCTAAGGAAATATCCTTAAGGGAGAGTGACTGGGACAGCAGAGGAATCTGAGAAAGATGATATAAATGAGCCAAAACCATTTGACCAATATTTTATATCAAATATTCTATAATATCGGATTGGTGGTAAGTGAATCATTATCGATTCCTAATTCTGGCCAAAATGGCAATGGATATCTACCAACGGGCTAAATCAGTAGCATGTGAACCGATTTTTTCTGAAGCTAGGGATGAAATATCAAAAAAATGTAATAGAACGAATCCAAAGACGGTTCAATCTCTAAATTTGAATCATGGATAATAATGAAAATTATTTTCAGAAGATTATCAAAATATTTATATAAAAATCAACTTTAAATCAAATATTTATCACATATTATATATCAAAAACTCATTAAATACGCAAAATGATTCATATTATATTCAATAAATTTGGTATTAAAAATTATTTGATGATATAATTGAAGTGGTAATTTAACACAGTTCATTTTTAATAAATTTAAAGCAGAATAAAACACTTATTATATAACAAAGGAACTTATTTTAAATGGGACCAAACCTGACTGGACAGACGGTCGCACGGTATGGTTTCATCCGAACGGTCCAGCAGTCCTGTTCCATTTTAGAAAAAAGAGGGGGCCTAATGGGACCGGACTGCTGAGTACTAAACAAAGTTCCTTTTGAGACATTTATTTTATAAATAGTCACCAGTCTTAATAAATTTCTGAAACTTAAGATATTCTAATTTAAAAAAATAAATATAATATCATGTTTTTGGAATATAATAAATTTTCACTGCCTTAAATGAAAATTTGGCAAGAACTAAATTAAAGGAAATTGTTATTAAATTAACTATATTATTTTTTCTAAATTATGTGCTAGTGGTAAAAATAAAGTAAAATTTATGTGTAATTTTATCTTATTTAAGAGAGACGGTTGCCAAATATCATGATGGGATTCTCATGTCTCATATTTCTATTAACTACTCACACCTCTTATCATTAATTTTAGGATTATTATAAAATATTAACTAATTACATAAAAAGATTTTGTATCCTGAAACAATAAAGAAAAACTAAATAAATTTAAGGGTACTAAGAACTTGGAAAATTATATATCACTAAAATTTACATATAAATGTTCAAATAAAATTTTAAGTAATAAATATATTTACTTTTCCCCCATCAGTTCAGAAATAGGATTTATTTCCGTTAGATTCTAAATTTATGCGTAATTATAAATATTCCAGAATCCAGATATCGTTATTATGACCAAGTGTTATTTTTTCAACTTTAATTCATATTTTGAGCTCTTTTTTTAAATTTAAAAATGTGATTTTCGAAATGTATTTAATTATGTTTAGAATACCTACCCTAAAAATTTCAGATAATTATATTATGAACTTTTATTTTAGTTTTTCCATAGATTTTTCATATAAATTATAAATGACTCAAAATTTAACGGTAAAATTATCTACAATTCATAAGATAGGTATTCTGAACGTGCTGGAATACATTTTCGGTAAAATCAGATTTTTAAATTTAAAAACACGCGCTCAAAAAATGACTTAAAATTAAAAAAATAATCCATCGGAAAAAACATATAGCCGCTAACATTTATAAATAAATATAATTTACTACTAGAAAATATATACTAATAGAATTTTTTTTTAACGTTGTGCTTTTAACGATTATCAAAAAAATAAATAGATATTAGTTAATTAATCCATTTTAACCACTTTCAAAAATATTTGACCATGATAAACTTACATATTCATTTTAATAAAAATAATTTATTATTATTAAAAAAATTTATAAAAATAAAAGGAAATCTAATAAATGAATTGGCATATATATTCTCTTAACACATATTATTTTTATGTAATATTTGATTTTTTTTAAACCCCAAATTTATATTTAAAAATAAAGAAGATTTTGTGAAAGTGTATTACCGCTCTAACAGTTTTTGCACTTAAATTTATTTTTTGTAAATTTAATATTCAGTCAATATTTCGATTATTAATCTACTAAATTATATAACAATTTAAATTTTAGTAATTAATATATCAGCACAATCTTACAACTAAATTTCATTTTCGTTTAAATTTTATGGAAATTTTAAATTGAGGTAAAATATTAAGTTACATAAAGAGCTCAATAAAGACTCAAATTTAACTGTCCTTATCAATTTTTTTTTTATATAAATCATCTTTTTAAAATATTCTCCATTGTAACTTTTCTTAAAATTTGAACAGTTTTCAAGTTTTAAAAAATATACTTTTAAAATTCAGTTCTACCGATCATGGTGGGTAGGAGATAAAGTTAGGAAACCCTGAAGATATTTTTATTTAGAATGAATTGTCATTTTGCAATTATACCATATTTGTTATTCTTATTTATAATAATACATATTTGTGGCGGGGTATTTCGTGGGAATATGGGAAAACCTTCGTTATGACCTAGACTCCCTCCATAAAGTATTTTTTTGAACTTCCATAATGTTGGAAGAAAAATATAATAATAAAAAACCGTGGCAGACCAATAAAAGGAGGGGGTGGTGGTTATTAAAATTATTTCGAAAAAAATAATGGCTACCAAATTGTTTACTCAGATTCAGAGTTTAGAACCTGGTAGAAAAAAAAATTCTAGTTTGTGTTCTGATAATTTTTTAAAAAGGTTTTGGTTCCAGTTCCTAAATTTGATGCGGTTAAAGATGACTCCTACAAAATTATATAAATTACCCGAACTTTTGTTAGAACCCATTTCTGAAGGGGTTCCTGGAAATTTTCAAATGGATTCTAGTACCTGTAAATATTAAATGAGAGTTCTAGGTTTAGGTTCCATTCCAAACTCTGCTCACATTGGTTTAACAACTATTTTTTTAACACATTCACACCAATAAAATGAAAAAAACAAAGCTGGACCTCCATCTTCCGATACTCTGCCCAAAAATGTATTTCGATATCGATGCACTATTAAAAATTGTATTTTGATATCGATACACTATTAAATCTAAATATCGCAGTGATGAAGCATCAAGTTTATTAATAGATAAGCATTATAAGATCTATAAATTTGCATAATTGATCTTTGTTTTTTAATAAAATGTTCACGCTCTGAATTATAAAAATTATTGTTAATGTTAGATTTTTTTTAAAATTGAAATAAATCGATTTTGAATCATCCTATTTTATTTTTATCAATGCGATCCAAAAACTAACAATATTAAATAATATATTCAGATAAATCAGCCATAAATTTCTACCTTTTTGTCATATTATTTTTTTTTTCTTAAATCTTAATTTAAGGTTTAAATATCATTTTCTTTATATACCTTTTTATCTAAAAATAAATATATTATTTAAGGCCAATTTGAATTTAAAGCAACATTTTATATAATTAAATTCGTATAAAGATTAATTATATTCTATGCCTTTTTCGATTTTCTTAATAATAAGTATATATTCCTAATTTAAAATGATTTTAAGAAGTTTTGTTTTCCTTTAGCCAATTTTAATTAAGATTTTTTTCAAAATAACATTCCGCAAGCCTCGAGAATTTGTTAATAGGTGTTCTAAACTTTCTGCCATCTATGAGAAAATCACAAGACTTGCGTAATA